ATCCTCCTGTCTGTCAGAGTGCTGACCAGCGTGGCTCTGTCGCCTCGGTAGCTTTGAGGAGCCTCGTCCTGATGAACACCAACCCCCAGGACCACACCATTACAGGAGGCCCCACTGAACGCCCTGCCCTTTAACAAGTTCAGCTGGCCCGAGGCATGGGGGCTGACATTTTTGCTGTAGGTTAAGCCTAACAGCTCTCTCTCCGGTTCTAACTTCAAGATGGAATCAGCAAGGTTTCGGCATGTGGGGGCAGCATGAGAAAGTACTAAGACTTTGGCTGGTGCTGTCACGTCTCAGAAAATCAACGCCCTTTGCCAAACGTGTGCTTCCAGAGGCATGACAGCCTAAGCACGCATCATCCGTCTGTAGCCATGGCCTCCGTGCAAATTAAGCACAGGAACAGGCCCCAGAAAAACGCCCACAGAAGTTCCCATAAAGCAGGAAAGGAAGAGATGTAACGTTATCAATTCGGAGTAATTAAGGCCTAAGTACATCATTCTAGCAAATGCCACCGAGTCTTACCTCCTCGGACTGACTGGTCTTTCTCCTCTTTCCGGCGCCATCCAAGTCCTTTTCCTTCTTATCCTGCACCGAGAGAGGTGACAGTGGACCAGGTACATGGCGGAGACCCCATACCTGGCTACCTGTGCGGCTTGGGAGAAGACGCCTCCCCCACCCCCTGCCCTCCCATTTACCTTGGGAGAACGCTTCCGAGAGATGGTCTGCCCCAGTTTGCTTAGGAAGGAGATGGGAGACTTGGTGCTGGCTATCAGGACGGCCTTCTCCTCGGAATTCAGGTCCAAGGTGTCTGTGGACAAAAATCAGTTACACTCACGGATGGTCCTGGAGGGGACACACAGCCTTGACCGGGACCTCTCTCCCTTCAAGCTGGCTCTGGAGGCCTCAGAAGGTGCCAAGGGTGCACCCACTAGGACAGAAAGCACCAGAAACTCCCTGGGAAAGCCTACAAAGGAAACCCACTTCAGACTGGATGCCAGGCCGTCTCTTCCCACCCACTTTCCCCCAGTCCACTCCTGTTGGAAAGACCTCACTTCTGCGTGTCAAAGGCTGGTGTTTGCCACACCAAGCACTATGGCTCCCCCTTAGGGGACACACTCTTGTCGGAGTGGAAGCACTCTCTTGTAAGTGCAGTTCTTGGTGAGGGCAGGAAGGGACCTCCTGTACTTAGTCAGAAAGGACCTTAGAAGCCTACAGAGTACATGGGGGTGGTGGTGGTGAGGGCACCACAAACCTCATGGATTCAATGTTTAATCAGTAATAATGAGAGTAAGCTTAAAAACCAAACAAAACAAACTAATAGTTAACATTTCCTGAGAGCTTCCGGTTGCCAAACATTCTCCTTGGCATACAACTCAATGACATGCAGTCAACACCTGTGACCGTTGTTACACCTGTGCAAGGTGGAAAGTAACAGTACTATCCATTTGGCTGTTCCTGGTCCAAAGCCCCCAACTTGCAAGGCTCTGCAGAACCGGGCAGTCCTGTTGAGTTCCAGCTCTCATGGGCTTCACGGTCCATCATCCCATCTTTTCAGACAGGGAAGCCAAAGCACAGAGGAACTCAGTCGTGTGCACAGGTCGACAAATGGAAGTGAGCAGGATGTCAGTTCAGGCGAGACTCCACAGTCTACATGCTTGACCATCGTGCCACAAGTCACCCCAGGGACAGCACTGACCATGAGAATGTTTTTAAGGCACTGCAAGTACAACTTTTCCTGAAGATCATCCAGCAACAGTTGCAGCAGTATAGTGACAGGGAGCTGCCAGAGGTTCAGGCTGGATTCAGAAGAGGACGTGGAACCATAGCGACCGCTGCGGATGTTACATGGATCTTGGGTGAAAGCAGAGAATACCAGAAAGGTGTTTGCTTGTGTTTTGTTGACTGCATCAAGGCATTCCCAGCCGTGAGCCATACCCAGTTAAGGATGCCCTGGAGAAGAAGGGGACGTCCAGAGCATGTCGCGTGTCCATGGAACCTGTACACGGACGGGTCAAGAGGCAGGGTGGGGAGTGCAAGGGCATACGGCATGGGTTAGCTCAGGAGAGGTGTGCATCCTGGTCGCCTCCTCTCATCACACTTACTCAGTCTGTACGCCGAGCAAGTCATCAGGGGAGCTGGCTTAGATAAAGAGGACTGTGGCATGGGGTCAACAAGCTGCCATATGCAG